ATATACATATACATACATAATATATATATATATATATAAATATATATATATATATATATATACATATATATACTGCTGAATGTATGCATATACATGTTAGAGTTCATCCAAATAGACACTTCCAGTCATAGAGTTCTAAATGTAGTATACAATATGCAGCACCAGAGAAAGTCTGATCCAGACATCGTCCGTAGAGATTACATTCGTGATGACAATATAGCCATGCCCAATTGCTGCTGCGTAAAGCTGGATGCGTGACTACCCACAACGGACACTCCAACCTTCCAAAACCTTAAACTCTTAGAACATTAAACCTTGATTCATTAAAACCCCTACAACCCTGAACCCAAAAACCTTGAACCCTAAATCTTAAATCCTGGAACCTTAACCCCTACCCACCTTCGCTAGCTGGTCATCACGGAGTAGCACCTTCGTGTTCGGAGGCCGTGTCTGTGGATACAATAACCGATACGACGGGTATGAGACTAATATATAAGTTACCTACTGTTTAGCGTACATATAACGTGTACATGAAAGATAGTCACTTATGCAGAAGTGTACATACGTATACATGGAAGCCTCAAAGATCACGAGTGCATCACAATTCTTCGCACGATTCGATTATGGTCCACGAACAACTCCAAACAAAGTAACACACCACACCACACCACACGACCCAACCCAACCCAACCCAACACAGCACAACACAATACGCACCGGCGGGTGCGGCTATACTATGGGCATGTATATGGCAGACTGTGTCTCATTTGACATACACATTGCCTTATAAACGCTGCAGAAGGGTGCGATTAACAAATTTCTTATCCCAATGCTCAATCCGAGCTTTGAGTACCTTCACTGTGTTATCATTTGAAGGTAGGCTTTGCATTGGGCTCTACTGGCTTATTACTTCATGCTTTGGGGGTTTCGCGTCGTGCACCAAAGAATATATAGATATAAGTATACAGAATATCACCAGATACGAACAGGATTATTGCAAACCTCTGTACAAAAATTAAATTAAACCAATGCGCATTTACAACACAACTTATTCCGACACCAGAAAGTAAATATAAATGTAATTTCTATATCTATATCTATATCTATATATATATATATATATATATATATATATATATATATATATATATATATATATATATATATATATATATATATATATATATATATATATATATATATATATATAACTAATAATATATATATATATATACAAAATTATCTTATTCCGATACCTGACCTGGGGCCAATATCACAGACTTAGGCGTGGGTCGAGGCTTGGCCTGAGTGTTCTGCTGCGCCGTGCTGTTTGTGTGGCTCGTTGTCTTGCTGGCCCTGTGGTGTTGTGTCAGTCCGTTTCCGCTTTTGGTCGTACCTGAGACAGTGACGTAATAAAGCTTTAGCAAAGATGATTTATAGTGGGACGGGTGTATACTCTGACAATGAGCGGAAGTGATGGCGTATGTTACTGTGTTGAAAAGCAGATGGGCTGCCATTCAAAGTGCAGTGGCCTACAGCTGAAGAATAAAAAACATTTGTTGACTACTATACACATATAGACCTACATACATACACGCATGCATACATACATACACACTAACACACACACACTCACATATATATATATATATACACACACACACACACACACACACACACACATATATATATATATATATATATATTTATATATGATACGATTCCAGTTATAAGTACTGCTGAAAAGCATGCATGTAGCAATATATTCATACTTATCTTCAAATCACTTCCAACACATGAATATACACTCACCCTGAGCCTGTGACTGCTGCGACTGGTGTTGCTGGGTCAATTGCGATGAATCCTGCGTACTCCCAGACCTTTGCGGTGGCGTAGTATGTGATGTTATACTGTTTAAGTTCTTATTCACAGGCCCCGAAGTGGGTTCACTGGTAGGTAAGGGCGTAGCCTGTTTCTTCTCCAAGACTATAACTCGCCCCGGATCTATTTTGGGAAACTCGATCTCGTCCATGCGGAGACCCGCGTACACCTCATACAGCGGCCGGTATTGGTCGGCCACTTCGAGAAAACTGGCATACCAAATCTGGAAAAATCAGGAGATTAAGTGGGCATGAATTGGGTTGGTTCACAAATCGGGTCTGTTTTTAAAGGCATACTTTGGCTTTCAACCGAAATCGGGGATTGTACAAGAGCACGCACATAGGATAGGGCGGTCGAATTAAAGCTGTTGTGCGAAACGACATCTGATCGAGTTTTTCTTCATAGGCACACCATATAAACTTGGTTAACTCATTACCTGGAGCATCTCGCATGCCAGAGCTCCAACCTTCGACTTCAGAGTACATACCATAGCTATACACCTGCGTGCAGTATGAAGGTACACTATATCAATACACATTGGCCCAGAAAAGGCGCTGAAATATTTAATTTTAACCGGGTCTGTGATATTGATTTTCGGGGCTTGGAATGAGGTTTCATGCATCAAATGTACACACACTCCTACCTAGGCAAAAAATGTGATTGATTCACATTCAGGAATTTCGATACACAATTTAATATATATATACATATACATAAATACATACATACATACATACATACATACATATATATATATATATATATATATATATATATATATACATATTCCAATATATATATATATATATATACACACACACACACACACACACACACACACACAC